GAGTCGCGCCATAGACTCCAAAACAATAAAGGGAAACAAAATTTGAAGCATTGAAGTCGCTCGTCCAAGAACAGCCAACCTCAGAAATTGAACTTAACTTTACTTTTCCATCACCTAGCATAACTAAGTTATGATTGGAGGAATAAGTTGAAGTAAGAGGCCTTTCCTTAAAGAAGCCCTCTTAAATTTCAGTAGATATAAACCCTCATATCTACTCTTTAATTAAAGCAACAACACATCCTTTAACTATTACCTGTATCTTATCTAAAACATGATAGTTAACACTCAAAGGTGCACATAGGTATAACAATGTTAAATTCCCATTTAGGTTAACCCAAAACCACATAAATGCATAACACATAGGAACCAGAACAGCATCAACTGGAAACATCTCCACATCCAGCATCCTCCACGATGGTCCACCTCGACTGACAAGGTCCACGCTCAACGCTCCCGACCTGCAACCTCCTGGTGGTGTCCATCTCCACGCTGGTCCTGCTGGTGATCTCTATCCTTGGGCTAGAGATCACAACCTCATCTGCAGCATTCCGGAAATCGATTCTCGAAGAAGGGGATTCCAGAAATCTTCTGCTTCTTCACGTGGTTCCAGAAATCTTCTGTTTCTTCACATGGTTCCAGAAATTGGTTGACGCCAGCTCAACCACCCCAGTCGCAGTGGAATTACCCTTGTGGATTAAACATTTTTCCTTGGTGGATTATAAACTTTCGCTTCCAGTGGTTTACAGACTCTGTTTTCCGATGGATTTAAAGTTTATCCTAGGGAGTTACCAACAGACGTTATGGGGATCATACATAGAATATTTTTTCCTTTCCTCCTTCTGTTGGATTACTAAAGTTTTTCGTCCAGTGAGACTTTTAACACAAGATTTTCTTCTTCTCTAAGAAGGGAACTTTTGCTATGCCACGTTCTCACTTTGGACTGCCATTTGTACTATTCCCTGTTCACCAATTGGATTACCTCAAGATCAAAGACATTTTGGGGTTCCCATTTTTGTTGCATCTCATCATCACGAACGGGTGATGACCTCCATAAGGGGGGAATGTAAGGGTTGCCCAAAGGGGAAATAAACATTTCCACTTGTCTTTGACTCTGGTTTAAAAAGACATTCCTCAAAAGAGACATTTTATTTTCTTTAATAAACAAAATAATAATGTCCTTTATATTTTTTGATTTATACTTTCTTTTTAACTACAAGTTATTATCATTTTATAAATCAGTTACACAATGAAAAGAGTAACAATTAATCATTTACATTATAATTAAGAAAAAGAAAACACACAAAAAGAAAATTGCTTCAATATTTGTCTTACACAAATATTTGTTTAATCAACTATTGTTTTTAAAGTAAAAGTGATTAAGTGTTTTTATTTTTATTTTTCAATTTAACTACATTGATCACTGTGATTATGACTTCACTGTGTTTTATTATGAAATATACATACAAAAAATATTTGTATTTGAATCATAGACAAATATTTTAAGGTTTATTTCAGTTTAAATGATTCTCTTATGTTCCAAAGAATTTTAATTTTTCATTCAGTGTAAGTCTGTCAAAGTGAAACTTGTTTTTCTGAACCAGGTGCAGGGTTGTTATCCCGCCATGGCAGGGTCTTCTAGTCTAAACTTTCATTCTTCTGCCTGTACTAACCAAAAGTTGAGGTCACATTCCTAGTTACTCTCTCTTTAGATACTAACACTGGAACTGAGCCTCGACAGACGAAGAGAAGAACCAAAGAAGAAAGAGATGAGAGACCATTTTTCATCTCTCTGAGCTGTTGATTCCTTTTCAGGAAAATCCAGCCTTTGACAATCAGATTTGCCTCTGGTGCCAACAAGCAAGTCTTTCTGTCTAGAATCATGACACATTCAGTCTTGATTCAACAACAGCTTTGAAGCTCTATTATTTTTAAACTTCTGATGAGAAGTCTTTTATTTTGAAAGAAAACCTGAGTGAACCTTGTCTCTCTCTGCCGGACAAACGCAGATCTTCTGAGACGCTGTAAATCAAAACGTGGGAGTTTTTACTGGTCGTAAAGGTCCTGACCTGGCTATCCTTAACAAACCGAGTGAATCCTGCCCACACGCTTGACCTGACGGCCGAAAACACCACCAGGTAAAGCTGAAGTTTTGTAAAGTGTTCGGAGGTCCGGCTGACTCAGTGGTAAAGATGCAGGGTGCTCGTTCTGGTTTTCAAACTTTGATAAGATAGTTGATAATTCTTAAATCTTAAAATTAATCCTCCTTCTTCCTTACTCTTCTTAAACTTAAAACCTTTGCCATATAAGTAAATG